TTAATCACTGAACACCCTATCTTTCCCCCGCAAGAAAAAAAAATTAAATAAATAAATTTTAATCTAAAAATTAAAAATTCCCAAGATGTGTTCTAATTTTTGGGAAAACATTGATGTAAAAGACATTTTTCAAATATTATTGTTTCCTTTCCTGTCATAGTTCAGGAAATTAGAAAGTTTACTTTCTCTATGTAGGTGCTTCTTTTCCATTATTGAGACAGCATTTGGATTATCACTTTAAAATCCGGCATTTAGCTATATGAGTATGTCAACGTATAAGAAATATATCATTTTTGAAAGAAACCAATCAGTATAAATACTAACAACGGCAAACATGTTGACCCTAGTTCAACGTATACAAGTTTTTATTGCCCTTTTGAGTAATGTAAAGTTGACCTGCAAGTATATTAATATTATATTGTTGTTGTTTGCATCATAACGCTTTACGCACAATTATGTCTTCAGGCATATGCATATATATGTACCTTTACCTCCAGCAAAAATCATGTTAAACCTAAAATCAAACTCGTGAACGATATTTACTTTTATGATTTGAAAATCAAACCGTTAATGTTTTAAATAAATAGTAAAAACATATATTTCAAGATGAAACGACAAGTGTAGTTTCAACAACATATGATAAACGGGCAATTCTTGAATATTATTAATTGACAAATATACTATGGTTTCACAATATTAATTTTTAAATGTTCAGTGGCCTACAAGTGTTTTCTCTACATCGATGAAAAAAAGGGAAAGGGAATTTCGTATGAGTTATGTTAAGACGATGCGGATGCTGCAGCATAAACAAGTTTACCAATAATTTTCGAACAAGAACGGGGTAGTCTTGACGTATATTAGTTGTATGATTGTCAGTAAAAATTTAACATTATTATTAATATTCAACTAAGAACTAATAAAACAGATAATTGATTATGTAGGTGTTGCACAATACGTAGGTCGACAGAGAGGAAGGGCGGGAAATCAAAACTGTCACTGGAAAAAGAGGGGTTGTTGTGCAAGGACAAAACTTTTGCCATGCAACAGGTAACCTACCCACCCTCTAACGTGTAATTGCAATAATTATTTTACGCATAGAGGGCGTTGCACTATCACAACACGAATAACAGACAATACAGTGATTAAAACAATACACAGAAAACTAAAGTCTGAACAAAAACCAACTCCACAAAAATCCTGTGGTGATCTCAAGTGTTCAAGAAGGGTAAATTCATCTTGTACTAATAGACACATTCTTCGTGTTTCTCGTGGCTTGTAAAACTTTTTGCAAAATGACATTTTTATCGCATTTATTCAACAAATAACTTTTATTTAAAAGGCGACGTTTTACCCGCTACATGCTTGGACAAACTAAGAGAAAATCTAGAAATTCAAATATCATGCATGTGAAGGAATTTTTGGTCATTGGCCATGAAAACTATTCCCCTATTCTGCTGGCTTTGCAATTAGCCTGGCTTAACCTCAGTATATAATTTTTATGCTGATAAACACACATTACGTAAATATCTGATAAGGTTTTATTCTGAAGTGCAGTAGCACTTGAGAAGCATATTATTGATTTGGAAAACATTGTAGAAAAGATAGAATTTTTACAAGTGTAACAAAAACTTAATATGATACTTATTCTCTTGTTCCTAGAATAGCCCTCGTCTGGTACGGTCAAGTCTAATACATAAAGCAATAGAAGCCAACAACATAAAATTCATAAGACTATGCATAAAAAAGACAAAAAAATTCTAGAAAAAAGGAGTCGAATATGGTGCTAGCTCACTAGATATTATTACCAACTTAACAAAATGTATGTATGCAAGTAGAAATTGATGATAGTTTTGGATGACGTCAGACTTTAATTTTACGCTGATATTCATAATAACTACGAACTTTTACCTCATTTATTCAATTACGTTTTTAACATATTTTCTGAATACAGGTTTTTAATTCTTTTATCTAGAACTATTTTAAAGATATTATTTAAGTGGAGTATAGATGTAGAGCGCCAACAACAATTTCGGAGGCTCCTCTAACCCACTTGATCAAATCAGAGAATCACATATATCTTAAATTTACGGTATTATCTTTCCATGCAATCAAAAATTCACCATTTACAGTTGGTCCAAGTATACATTAATCATAGGAAACAATAAAGAGCAACCTAACGATGTTCCTCATTTTGAAAAAAAACCTCATATAAATGGTCACTTTTAATGAATACAACTCCCAACTTCATTGACCGTTAAATATTCAAGAGTCTAAAATTTATGAATAGGAGACGTACTGTATAACTGGCCTTAAACTGTTGCAACGTTATGCTGTTGGAAGAACAAAATAGAATAGAATATTGTAGACAGCTTTTAAATGGTCTTGAAGATAAAGTTGCAGGAGGATAGGCATATAAAGATTGCCTTAAATTTGATGGTTAAAGTTCAATAACTCTGAAATGACAAATTAGAAAAATTTAGCATCCGAACGAAACTTAATTTCACCAATCCAAACAACAATATACATTTTGAAGTGATGTAAACAAAGTACTCGAGTAAATCACGATATGTCAAAAATTGCTTTAACTCTGGAACGACAAACTAAAAATCAAAATCAAAATTGAAATGGATCTTCTTTCTATCGATTCAGAAATTCAATACAACTTTCATGAAATTTGATATCTTGCCTTTGAACGACGTGTTGACGGACGGACAGACAGACGGACAACGATACACCATAGAACGTTTCGTTTACTACGACCGTATAAAAATAACCAAAAGACATCTAGCGATCAACATACCGTCCTCAACAGGAGACAGATGTTTATACCATATTTCAAACTATAAATTGTCCCAAATCTAAAACAAATTGTGAATAAATTAAAAACAAAATCAACCAATCTGAACGGTCTGCCATCAAAACTAAAATTCTCCATATAATAATAAGAATAAAAATGGACCAAAGACTCAATGGCACAGATTGTTTCTTAGTCAATATATATATATATATACGGTTTAAGAACATCCGTTGTTCAGCCTGCTAGTCAAATGCGTTTTGTTAAAATATACTTTTTCACTTTTTTAGTCTTTTGGACAATGTTGTTTGTGCTGTATTTAGACCCCTCTACCAAGAAATTTGTTTTGCATGCACACGTATAACAATTGCGGTTTTTATCCAACGCAATCATAGGTTTGAACGTTGTTTTCAATTTAGACTTGTATATGGATATGGTGTACAAAAATCTTTGCACCTTTTGTTTGTGGTATACCATCTTTTCCGAAAGTTTATTGTTTTCTGTTTAGTATTAAATTTATAATTAAGATCCATTTATGACATCGGTGATCCGTTTATTTGGCAATCGCCAATGGCAGTCAGCAGGGTTAAAGAACATTTGTTGTTCGACCTGTTAGTCAAATGCGTTTTGTTAAAATATACCACACGTATAAAAATTGCGGTTTTTATCCAACGCAATCATAGGTTTGAACGTTGTTTTCAATTTAGACTTGTACATATATATATATATATATATATAAGTCTGAAAATTACACCCAACAGTGTTAGAGTTAGATTTTCTGCTGACAAATTTTTGTCCGTCCTTCAGCGGGATTCGAACTCACACTTTTGATACACTACAGCACCAATCGCTTAGCCTCATGCCCAGCGCTCTAGACCACTCGACCACATCCGCTATATAAAAATATAACTTCAATAGTCGTAGTGTTACCTTGTCACGGAAGGCGAATCTAGAGATAGACATAAGACACGTGTTTTAAGCGTGTGTAGATGTTATATTATTATTTTATACACAAAGTATTTTTTTTATTTGTCAGCAATCTAACTCAACTATTTTTATATATCGTATGGGATCATGATTCAATCATTATACAGTCACTAGAAATAAGTATATCATACAAACAAGTCTAAACAATATATATATATATATATAAGTACATCTAAACAAGTGACAACTCTACGACAGTCCATCCATTGGATCACCAGCGAAGGTGATACACGGCTGAAAACACATATTATATTCATAATTACTCTAAATATCAGCAAAACAATGTTAATTTCGGCAAATTTGCGGAAGCAAATTTTTGTTCTTCCCTCGCCGTGATTCGGACTCATGCTATTGGGATATCGTGACAACACCGCCTGCACTGTGTCCAGCGCTCTAGACCACTCGGCCACCTAGACGTATATAATATACATTGTGCTTGCAAGTCTGACATCGTTTGTTCCCACACCCCTTTGAGGATAAATCAGCTCTCGCCAGTAAGTCTTCAAGGCTTTTGGGACTACGGAAAGCCAGTAAGGGTGACTCTGGGAAGATTTTGGATACTATAGGATATTTTTCCATTTCTTTCCAATTTTCGCGGATATCTTTAAAGTTATAATTTTTTAGATAAATATGAAATTACAAAAAGCTATGACTGTTTGAGTTCCTTCGTTAAGAAAATTGAGAGAATATAAATTTATACAACCATAGTACACTTATTATGTTTTCCATTGGTTTTATCCCTCGTTTCTGTTAATGGTGAGTCTTATGAAAACCGGAACGAGCGTCTGCTGTACCACATTTCATCTCCTAGAGCACCACCAGCCCAATTGTCAGCACTTTTGTGTTGACATGAAATTTTATTATTGTCATTGTTCATTTTCTGTAAATCGTTTATGAAATGTTGAGTAATATATTGCCTTAGTCGTATCAGGCACAAATTTTCGGCTTTTATTGCCCTTTAACTTTGTAATAGATTTGGACTACCAACTGTTTTGAATCGAGCGCCACTGATGAGTCTTATGTAGACAAAATGCTTGTCTGGAGTACCAAGTTATAAGCCTGGTATCTTTGATGAGTTTTATTTTAATACGATAGGATTAGCTTGAAAATATTCGAAAAAAATAAATTGATACCATTAGCGACCGTAACATCGCATATATCCGTATTGCAAATATTTGTCTCTGTAAAGCTTTTACCAAGTTATTTGAATACAATCAAGTCAAACAATTCATTTAATTAAGTATAACACATCAGAAATGATATCCCGTTAGAAAACAAATTAAAAAAAAAAACTTTCAGAATAAAGAAATAAAAATGATTAAAATTCTTTTAAACACTGTTCACGCATTTACAGTATCGTGGATAGCTTATGGGAATGAACCTAAGTTGAGGCACGTATGTCATGTCCTCATCAACCACAAGAATCCATGTGTGGTAATCGTCATCCCTCTGACAGGTTCCTGAACTACAAGTGGCACTTGCTCTGAAAATAAAACAGATCCCACTGAAAATTATAATTTCAAGAGTTGTCTTTCTAATTATTGACAAATGTGTCCAGTCATCTCGTTATTTGCAAAAAACCGTGTCTGACTTAAGCATGCATTATATGTGAGCAGAGGAGCGATATTAAATGTTAGTGCAGGTTTTGATATATATATTAATGACTTCAGTCAAGGTGGGCTTTAGATAGGGCTTGTCTGCTACAAGGTAAATGTAAAAAAAAATATGGAATTATGATTACTATTTTTTACAACAAATAATTGAAATTATAAAATTTGCTGTTATGAAGACGTCTTTCAGTTCATAATTTGTTATTTTTATAGTGATTTCTATTTGTTAACTGCGTACTAAATTTTATAGTTTTTTTTAAATTTGGAGGGAGGTGGAGGGGTGAATAAACTAAGGGTGACATTGTAGTTAGTTTATTTATTTCAATTGGTAATAGCAAATCAATACTATACTGGCTACTACAATTGTTTGATAGATGTTTTTCCCTTTATTTTAAGAGACAATAATATATCTTAATAGTCCGTTTGAAATCTATAAATCTTAAAAAATGATTGATAAAAATCAAAATTATGTAGGTGGCATCTGAATTTACATCCCATATTTGTATGCATTATGTTTTCTGGTCTGTCCGTCCGTCCCGTATCAGGTAAAAGTTTTTGGTTATGGTACTAGTTTACCATCAATTTTTTGGTCAACTTGAAACTAACCGGTAGTTCACATGTTAGGCCATTTGCAAATGATTTTTACAGTTTGCTCTTATATTGTGTTGTAGCACCACTATCTTAAGTTAGGGGAGGGTTGAGCGCTCACACACATGTTTAACCCCACCACATTGTTTATGTGTCTGTCCCAAGTCAGCATCCTGTAATTCAGTGGTTGTCGTTGGTTCATATCTGTCATATTTGTTTCTCGTAAAATGTGTTGTTATAAATTAGGCCATTAGTTTTCTCGTCTAAATTATTTCACATTTTTCATATCGTGGTCTTTTATAGTTGACTATACGGTATGTTTTTTTTTTCATTGTTGACGGCCGTGTAGTGACCAATAATGGATTATGTCCACGTCATTTGAACTTCGAAGTATAGCTGACCCATTGTCAATCATACCATATCTTCTTATGTTTATAATGTTCATTATGGTGTAAACGTTTTAAACTATATGCCAAATTCCAGTTTTGATACTGATTTTATGGTTCACTGAACGTGGAAATGTGATACTGTGAAATCAGTACATTCTCAAGTTAAAGATTGGTAAAAACAGTTTATCGAGTTGTTTACCGAGCTCGGAAATGTAGGTACGATCCGGGTAGACTTATCAATCCTTTAAATAAACTTATTCTAAAAGGTTACCAATTCAACACTGTAATTCGATCTTTGAATATTGCTTTATTGGTATCAGTATTGATTTCAGTAAATTAAAACCATATTAAATACACATATTCACATTCCCCGGACTTCAATCTGTCTATACCTTTATTTTGGAGGGCGCATTACATTTGCGCGCATTTGGGGATTATTATGTTTTACGTTTGCGCGCAGCTATTGATTACATTTGCGCGCATCCATTTTACAGGTAACACAGGTAAAAATAAAGGTAATTGATAATAAATATGACTAAAGATATTGATTTTGAACACTTTCTGAATTTAAATCAGATTATGTTTTTTTCATATTGAATTCTAAAAAAATAAAGTGATCCTGAGAAATCCCGTAATAGCTTAAGGTATATATGTAAATTGATAAAGAATATTTCAGAGTGAAAAGTATTCTGTTTCCTAATTTTATTGAATAGTGATCACTAATGCAATCAATTTAAGTCAGTTTGTAAAGTTGCACCAAGACACTATATGGAGTTTCGTTTGTCAGAAACAAATCTGGGAAACACACATTAGTGTACGATGGATTTACTTTCCGTATCGACAGAACATTTAAGACGGGAGATATGTAATGGCTAGCCAATGTACCATAAAGAATTGCAAAGGCAGGATAAAAACTGTTCAACATTCAACAGCCGTTCTAAATAGTAACTGTAAACATACACATGAGTGTAGAAAACTTAAGAGGCAGAATATATTATACGTGCGGTTGTAAAACTACAGCCGACATAACTGTTAGGCCTATGAAACTAGTATTCGTTGTACCTGTATTTGCCTGAGTTTACCTCTAACATGAATACGCGCAAATGTTATCAAAAGCTGCTCGCAAGCGTTGTTTTTTAACCGCAAATGTAATACACCGATTTTGGCATTGCACAAAATCATGTTTTTCTCTGACTGTTAATGACGTCTTTACACTTAATCCATTGGATATTGAATGTGTACTCATTTAGTCTTACACACTTGCTTTTTTATTAGCTGGTGTTGGCTTTGAACTAGCTGTCAGTAACTGCGAGTACTCTCAGATCTGTATTTGTGTCTTTTTTGGTTTTAGGGATGTATAGAAATACCCTGCCACATCTGGTCTGTCTTTTTGTTATATGTTTTTCTGCTTTGTATCGATCTGATGGGTCCAGCCCATTTTCAACTGATTTTTACATCGGATGACCGTGAGTGCATTCCGGTGTATTGTTGCCACAGACATTTCTACCCACGTGACTTTTGTTTTTGACTGATAACCGAACGCAAAATAACATTCCTTATTTCTTGTTATATACCAATTTCATCAATGAATATTCATGAAAATAATTTTTAAGAACATAGATGAAAATGTTTTGTCGTGAGAAATATATATATCAATAACAAATCAAGGATACCGAAAATTTGTGTTAACGCATGCGGAAGAATATCTCTAGAACGTTTTGCGGGAAAATATGAATGCCTACTCAAATCCAATCTATTAGAAAAATCGAATTATTATAGAAGAGTGTCCACCATGCACTTGCACTGCACTATTATTAGAATAGTAGAATAGAACGATATACGAATGGATGAACATTATATATACATGTAACTGTTATATACAAATATTAATATAATATATAACAACAAACCAGAGTATACTGATTTGTATCACTACAATATAATAGTTATTACGGTGAGGTTGAATTCCCTGTCATTATTCATCATCCACGCACGAACTTGTCTCAGAAAAATATATATCTATGTACCTTAACCTCACTTTCAGGTATAGAGTTGTGATTTTTTTTCTGAGACAAGTGCTTGTGACCATCCACAAGAACTTGCGGTCATCCGATGTTCAGTACTTCGGTACTTTGATTATAGTTTGTTACACCACTGTCTCAGGTTAAGGAAGGGTTGGCGCCTTCAAAAATGTTTAACCTCGCCACATTCTAAAATACCTGTCCCAAGTCAGGAGCCTGTAGTTCAGTGGTTGTCGTTGGTTCATGTCTGTCATATTATTTTTCGTAAATTGTTTTGTTATAAATTAGGCCGTTAGTTTTCTGAATTGAATTGTTTCATATCTGGGCTTTTTATACCCGACTATACGGTATGGGTTTTTCTCAATGTTGAAGGCCGCACGGTTGCCTATAATTTCTTACATCCACTTTGTTTGAACATTAGTTGATAGTTGTCTCATTGTCTATCATACCACATCTTATTTTTATCATATTAAATATGTGGTCACATCAACTTGAAACTTAGCACATATGTTCATTATTGTGTGAACTATCGAAAAATATGCCGTATTAGGGTTTTAACCCTAATTTTACGGTTCACTGAACATAGAAATATAGTGCGAGCGAGGCATGGTGTCATATGTGCAATTATTGTCAAATATTTTGGTCATTAAATGAAAAAAAGTTGCCCTTAAGGTTTCTACAGAAAATATATATTTCCCAATTAAACCTATACAGAGGTGGGTATAGTTTATGAACACAACAGCCAAAAAAACAAAAACGAACCATTGCATTGGTCGATAATATTTTTTTTAGATGTGTTTTATTTAAATTTCAAAATGTTAGACTCTCTTACTTAAATTTCAAAACGTTTGCGCATAATGAAAAATAATACGTCAAATCTTGAATCGACAACATTCCTGTGATCTTAGTTTTGATAATTTTACTTACGGACAATCTCCAACGAACAAAAATTGCCAACCACCCGTTGGGTGATATACTTCATATTCCTTACTGTTGTAATCCACTTTCAAAGGAGCAACTGCTGAAAACGCACTGTAGCAAAAGTAAGAATATATCATGACACCGGATACTTTACTTATGAAAAGGGCACTATAAGATATACACACTGATTAAAAGAAAATAGTAGTCCATACAACACTACAACGAAAATTAATTATATCAACACTATTTTATCTTTCTCAGTTGAAAATAAAACGTCATAAAGGCTCTAACTTAAAATACTTAAAGTAGTATAAACTACATGTATCTGAAAGTCGGTCGTGCGGTGCGAGAAAAAATACGATGATTATACACAAGAAAGGTAACTAAATTACAGCCTGCCGACATCCCGACATTCCCTATGCTGTAGTACAGACTTATTCCCTATGCTGTAGTACAGAATTATTCCATATGCTGTAGTACAGACGTATTCCCTATGCTGAAGTACTGTCTTATTCCCTATGCTATAGTACTGACTTAACAATTTCTTAATCCTAAATCCGTTTGTGTTGATCTGAATTATATTTCAGTTTGTGATATTATGGTTTAGTTATCATTTGAAAATGAGTAACTGATGGTACTCACATATCTGTACTTTGTTTCCTATAGAGTTATTTTTGTGTTTAGTATATATTTGATGAGTAGAACCCTTTCAAACGGACTTGAAAAGTTTGTTCTTATATTAAGCTGTAACTCTGCTGTCCAAGGTTAGAGATGGGACTGAACGACCATGTTTAACCCTGCCACAATGTTTATGTACCTGTAATCAATGTCGTACTAGGTTGTTGTCTATCATAAGTGTTTTTTTTATGTTGTGTTTAGCATATATAACCAGGCTTGTGGTTTTCTCTTTTGCACTGTTTCACATTTTGTCATGCCTAACCTTTTGCTCATTGTTGAAGGCCGTACGGTGACATGTAGTTGTTTACATCCTCACTCTAGGTGTCTGGTGAATGCTTGTCCCACTGACAATATCACCACATCTCTTTATTTTTATATTAACATTCAGTTAAAGTTTTACTCACGTTGAACAACAGGCCGAACATTCGGATCTTTTTACGCGAATAGTGTCAAACCAACGTCGTAATCGCTTTGAACATGATGGTGGATGAGTATATTTTGTCCAGAATACTTTCACTGCTTCTGGCTTGATGTGTGCTGTAGGATAATCATTTTCGCTGTTTTTAAAATTCATTATTTGATTTTCGGTATAAATCATCTTTTTAAACACACTTTTGTTTTTAGATAACCATCTCTTTGTATCGTTGCTTATACTTTTTGTACATAGTAACATTGCTGACCACAACAATATTTTGAACATAATCATGATTCTGTTTGTTCCTATAATAACTGAAAACATACGTATGTAAATTTATAAATAAATTGAAAGGCAATGAAAATAAGACATAACAGTAATAATGCTAAATGTATCTAAAAATATTAATTGTAAAATATATGTTAATTAATATTTCGTAACACAATATAAATAATGCCTTACTAAAATAATGGTTAATATTCGATGTTCATCCAACCTGTATCGCGGACCATTTGATCAAAGTCATCATGTATGTCCAAATTTCAAAGGTAAGCATATTTGCATATTGTTCACACTTGTGAATGGTACATGTTACGCAGTGGGTGTGGTACATATAGTCACGCATTTGAAATAGGTTGTGAATACAAGGGATACAACAGAAATTATGAAATATGATATCAGTTCATTATTTATCTATTAGTTTCTTCAAAACAGCCATAGCCTTGTAAGGGAATCTGTCCTGTTTAGGACCACTTCTCGCAGAGGAGAAATGAATATAGAATGAGCATACACAACATCCATATTTGCTTTAGTGAAACGTGATTATATGGAGTGGTTGTCTTTTATATTTCATGAAAGACGCAAGTTTTAAGAAATGCGTTTTATTAACTCATTAAATATTCTTGGTCGTAATAAGCGTAATTGATAATTGGACAATATGATTTTGTTTCACGTCCCTACAATTTCCAAAGTTGTATCCTCCCTTTGCATTAATAAACAAAAATATTTGAACATATGAATATGCTATCTTTTGAGACATTCCTCAAATGACTAAATTAATACGAATTAGAGCAGGCAGTATCTTGACGCGACAAATTCCAAATATATGTATATTACAGTTACCATGGTAAAAATTATTTCATAAAATACACACGTACCTTTACATAAACTAAATATTTGATGGTAAACACAACTTTTGAAAAGTCTGAAAATGGATTGATTCTTTGAATTTAAAAAAAAATCTAATAAAAAAAAATCTGATTAGACTAATCAGAAATTGTAACAAAAGTATTAATTTCAGTTTACCTGTAAAAATAGTTTCAGCGTCTTTTAAAAAGACACATATACGGTATAATTATGCTTAATGTTTGAAATTCAATTTAAGTTATGTTTTTCTAATAATTTTTTCTTTATATATAAATTTTACGAAATTGATAATGAATTCCATGGAAGAAAAAAATGGCTACATCTGAGGTTTTGACTAGTTTAAATATCCTGTTTATGCCAGTAGTATATGCAAGTCCATTTGGATTAAAAAAAAGAAATGTAACAAAGTATATATTATCCCCCGTCTTACTTAAAAGTTTCAGTTTTAAAAATTGTTTTGCAACTTACTTGACAAACTATTCGGTACACATTTGTACTGAAAATCTTGATTGTTCTATGCGAATTCGTGTCGCATCTATCTTCTATGATATGAATGTTGCTAGACACTGCTCCATGACAAATATGTTGTCACTGCTTACATCATATCAATATTGTTTTGTGGGGAAATCATTTGATAAAGGAATTATGTTCTGTCATTTAACTTTAAAACTTATTACTATGTCCATTTGAAATTTCGAAATATGAAGAACTGGATCATCATTCACTCTGCTAGATACCTATACAACACAAGTGTAAAAGAGATGCGAAAGATACCAAAAGGACATTCATACTCATAAGTAAAAAAAAAACTGACAACGCCATGGCTAAAAAAGAAAAAGACCAACAGACAACAAAAGTACACAAAACACATCATACATATAAAAGAGAGGCGAAAGATACCAAAGGGACATTCATAGAAATAAGAAGATGTGGTATGAGTGCCAATAAGACGTGACTCTCCATCAAAGTCACAATGTCTAAAAAGTAAAAAATTATAGGTCAAAGTTCGGCCTTCAACACGGAGCCTTGGCTCACACCGAACATCATACTCATAAGTCGAAAAATAACTGACAACGCCAAGGCTAAAAAAGAAAAAGACAAACAACAGTACACAAAACACATCAATTCATAGATATAAAAGAGAGGCGAAAGATACCAAAGGGACATTCAGACTCATAAGTCGAAAACAAACTGACAACACTATAGCTAACTCGTGATATTGCGGAGTTTGACAAGTGCTCTAAAAACCTCTTTCCAAATCACTAACATCGAATATATCAGCAATCCGGACTTAAGTGTTACTGTAAACCGGCATTGTAAATCAGTTGTGGGTACAAAAAAAAAACAAAAAAAACAAAACCGTATGATCTATTAGAAATCATAATAGAAAGACCGTTGTTTGTAAGAAAAGGAACTTCAAACGCGGATTAATACCTAATACACATGTACATACATATATTCCGTTATATCATTTCAAAATTTCAAAATAATAATGCATCTACTTAAAAGTCAAATCAGTTCATTTCAATAAAATAAATATATTTAATTTAATAGAATATCTTTATCAGATCTAGTATTCAATGGATTATGTGAATGTATTCAAAATAAAGTATTTAAAATTCATGAATACTTAGTGTTTACATCTTACCTTTCTTTACTTGATAACAAATAATGATCTACTATCTGAAAAAAAACATACGTATTTATAAGTCGTATCTTAAGTCCTCAGGCAAATGATCATCGATGAGAATAGATAAACGTAATGTTATATGATTTTATAGTTTCCGTTTTAAATCGCTGATTTTAGTTACAAAAAATTAAATTACGATAATCTCTATTTTTAATTTGCTCATAAAACTATAATACTTGGAAATTTGAAACAATTGCTCGATATAAAAATAAAACTTTCGATGGAATTGAATGCATTTCATGCCTCAAAAGTAGTTATGTATGTAAACACGTATATAAGAAAGTAAACAAGAATGACTGAACAAAAGACCCAGAGTACTAACGGTTTTGTTTGTTTTGGCAACGACTGACCAATCATTGACACTTAATAGGTGAAATAACTGCGTCACATATATTCTAACAATGTTAAAGAAAATTTGTGTTTAAGATCGCTGGATAAATATATGTAAAAACTCATAATAAATACCAGGCCAGGTTACAACTTTGTATGTCAGACGAACGTTTCGTCTACCTAAGGCTCATAAATTTCGCCTACATAAGACTCGAATTATAACAGTTGGTAGGGAAAATGAAATACAAAGTTGAAGAGCTTCAAATACTGAAAATTGCAAAAAGTTGTGCCAAATAGGCTAAGACAATCTGTACCTTCAGTACACAAACCTTAGTATCTCGAATAATTTAACATTTTATACACAATAAGTTTACAGAAAAATATCATATCAAGGGTATTTCATGTCAACACAAAAGTGATGACTACTGGGCTGGTGATACCATCGAGGACGAATGTCCACCAGCAGTGACATCGACCCAGTGGTTCTAAAAACTCATCAGAGATAACAGGCTCATAATTTTGTCATCAGATACATTGGCAAAATTTAGTACGAAGTTCACGGTAGATCTTCAAATTCAGAAAATTCAGAAACGATTCGGCTATGGCAATCTTTATCTCAGGATAGAAGTACCTGTAACATTTTTATGTTTTATGTAATTGTATCAGTTTTACTTATTTACTTAATAGTCATTTAATACAGTTGGATATCATCAGAAATATTAATTTAGATTTATAATTAGATTTCTTTGTTTGAATAGTGAGCCTAATAATTTGCATATGGTGCCCATGTAAATTTATGTAATGGAGCCCGTTCTGAGCCAAGTTTACCCGGAGCCCGGATTAAGCGGTTGCCCTTGTGCCCGGTTGACCTATTATTCCATATTTTTATCCGGGCTTGTAGGGCAAATAGTACTGATATAAAAGAGAGAAAGAGCCTTGAGATAAAGGGGAGACATTTACAGTGAGGAGAGGACAGTTACGTTCATGGTAAGAGAGGAGAAACGTATTGTTGAGCCTGCAGTTTAGATGTTGTACAATTTTATTCTTGTTACCATGTTATAGTCGTTTGTTTTGATAATACTGTATTGAACTTTTAATCGACTTTGAGTCAATTTTCACTGACAAGGCCGGGATCCATTTTATTTATGTGACCCGGATTCCCTATATCACGTTACAAGTTGAATAAAGGTAATCCTGTAAAGTGTATCATTGGCATCTGTCGTCTGTGTATGGTTAAATATCTGAGACACACAACAACACAACAAAAACAACACACAACAACACAACAAAAACAACACACACCAAACACTTTTTTCATCGCATACCTTAGTAGTTGTGTAGTAAACGGGCGAATGGTAAATATATAAATGAATATGTATATATAGATGAGTTACCTTATTGTCGGGAGTATTAAACCAACAAGGTTATCAATCAGGTCTATACGTAGTTCCAAAAGTACGTCCAGACACAAAGGTTGTTTACAGGTAACTAATTCAAATCGTGTACTGATTCCCGCTGTCAGCTGATCGTGATTTCCGGTTTGAGCTATTACCACAAAATTAACATATCACAACGGCTTTAACAATACAACATTCTTCCCCATTTTCAACAAGAGTAAACGTCTCCATTTTATTCCACCATAAGACTATATGCATATGTCCAAAGATTAAAAGAATCGCAATAACAAAAAAATCAAACAGAAAATGGCAAAATCTGTCCTTCTGTACAATAAAACCTATCATATACATAAAATGATGTTATCTACAGTTTTTTTGTCTTATATAAAAAGTATGTTGTCTGCTCTTTAGTCGGGTTGTTGTCTCTTTGACATATTCCCCATTTCCATTCTCAATTTTATTAGAGATAACAAATAGTTATCAAAGGTACCATGCTTATAATACCGAACCCCAAAGAAAATTCAAAACGGAAAGTTCCTTATCAAATGACAAAATCAAAAGCTCTAAAACATCAAACGAATGGAAAACAACTGTCATATTCCTGACTTGGTACAGGTATTCCCTTATGTAGAACATGGTGGATTAAACCTGGTTTTATAGCTAGCTAAACCTCTCACTTGTATGACAGTCGCATATAATTCCATTATATTGACACAAATGTGTGAAAAAACAAACAAACTTAATAGGTTAAAAAATGTCAAAAATAGGGGTACAGCAGTCAACATTGTGTTATTAACTTAATCACAATAAAAACAAACAAATATGTCAACAAAGAAAAACAAAATGGCATATAGACAAAGCAAAAAACAAAAGACAAGTATGCAAAAATTGACCATAGGACAATAACACAATGGCGAGATGTATAAGTACCGAGTCACACCAAAAGGATATTACCAAAAATGGACTTAACAGTAAAGGTGAATAATTTACAAAGACAAATAAAATAACACTATAAGAATACTTTAGTGGCATTCTCTGTTATCTTGGCCGTCTTTTCTGACAAAACATTGTGCAGGTTAGCTTTCTTTTTAGCTAAATCTTTCACCAACAATGGAGTACCAGTACTTCCATCCTCTCCTGGAATGTATGGTGCATCTGTTTCTAATAGCAAATCCCTGAATTCCATCTTGCATACCAATCCCCTGAAGTGGGGGTATTTTATCTCATTAAGTAAAAAGGAAGATATTCCAAATTTAACTTCTGGGAATGCTATTTTCCATTTAATATACTCAGCATAAGAACCATCGAAACAATGTCTAAGGATATGATAACCTACAGGTAAGATTCCAGTGAGACAACGGAGGCATTCATTCGAAGTGTCATAATTTCCACGGCAAAGGATCACCACAAATAATTCTTTATGTTTTGCAATCCTTGCATGTTTTCTTAAGATGTCTTTCTGTTTTTCATATTCTTTTGACGATGGTCTGTCAGTTAATTCCAATCAATGTTCTCCAACTGCAACCACTTTTTTTTAGTTCAACAATACATCTAAATCCTCCAGCCATATCTGAAGAGTTCTTGGGCTTTCATGGTTGACTATTCTTGGATGCAAGCCGAAGGTCATTCTTATCCTTTTATCTTCTCTTATTTTTTCTCGTTCAGAACTACTTGGCAAGTTCTTTGGGAAGCAGTAGTTGGAGATTCCAAACTGTAGGAAGTCTGTTTTCTGGTCCCTATCTGAGTTGAACTGTGGAAAGTCAGAAGATCCGACTCTCCTCCTTAGTTTGTCCATATGAAAATGTGAGTCCACATAATTGATATTAACTGAAGGTCTATATATTTGAAATCTGTGTTCTGCAGTTGTGTCAAGGTACCCATAATCCAAAACAAGTAAAGAAAGTATTTTTCAATGAAGAAGTGAAGATAAAGAAACTGATGGGTATGGTTTCATGTATGCTGCATCCGGTTCTAAATTATTTATACGGTTGAATGAAAGAATAGGAGAAACATCTTCATCTAGAAAGGCGGACTGGTGACATGACTCTCTATATTTCCTATTTTGATTGTCATAATCACAGGCTTGCGTAATTTCTTTAAATCCTAATACATTATGTGCTTCAATTAGCCATTTACAAACTCTACTCGATTCTCTGCATACTCTTCTTCAGTGTACTTACATCCACTATCATTTGAGGAATGTACTTCTTTCATGTATATCTGTACAAACCTTGCTTGTCCAAATTGAATCTTGCAACTCCAACACACTGTACTTATATCCAAATACCATAGTAAATGTGAGCGAAGACTGTGCCTTCTAGGATGTGTGAATTTACCTTTACACAATGGACAGCTACGATCTCATTTCCTTACCAAAGTTGCCCCTTTAATATGGTTAGCTTGAGTCTTCTGTACTCCTGCTTAATCTTCGTCTGAGATGTAGTCTTCATAATCTAAATCTGTATCCTCATCAATACTGAGAAAATTAAATTGAATACAAAAATTATTAAAAGTCATGAACCAATTATTAAACATATATACATTACCAATATAATCTATCTTATAGTGTATATTCGATATCCCAATCTTGTACGTAATCTGCAAGATATGCTGGTAACTGACGTCTCCATTTCTCCCTACTAGCGGTAGATGTTTCTGTGTTATTTTTTTGAACATCATATATAAATGTCTGGCCCAAGTCAGAAGACTTGTCTAAAAATTAGTCCATATTTTGGATAACTGGTCTACATCTCTGGTCTTCCTTTAAAACCGGTTCATTTGGATAACTTTGGATAACTTAACTGAACTGAAGTCAGAGTATCCGACTCCAGATTGGTATCGTGCAGCCATTATCCATTTGGTTCCGATGTCAGAGTATCCGACATTTGGTCTAGTTAATAAATAGTCCAGAAATATCAAAGATATCATCCAAATCTTTTGAATTTTTATTTTCTAATGTAACATTGCTGTCAGTGTCCTGTAGAAGATTGTTCCTCAATATTTTTAACCAAATTGGAAGCTCTGTGAAATAACACATCTTTAGTCGGTCATGATGAACCACGGACTCTCTTTTCCTATCTTTTATTTTGTATAGCACTGGAGGTTTTACTTCTGTGATGATATAAGATCCTTTCCAAGGTTGTTTGACCCACTTTGGTAGAGTTACTTTTAAGTACTACATCACCAATACTATATTTCTGTTGATTCGTTTTTAAATCACAGTCCGTCTACTGTCTTTTCGGCTCTCTGTAAATTAACTCTTGCCAACTAATGAACGTGATGTAGTGTCTCCTTTAACTTTTTAACATACTCTGGTGGATGTTTAGCAGTGACTCTTGATGTTCCTAAC